GTCTTTGGCTGCCTTTGTTATGCTACCAACTTAACTTCTCATGACAAATTTTCACCAAAAGATGCTCATTCTGTCTTTATGGGTTACTCTTCCCCTCAGAAAGGTTATATCCTTTTTAATTTGCAATATAAGTCTTTGTTATTCCTTTTTAATTTGCAATATAAGTCTTTCTTTGTGAGTTGAGATGTTTTCCATGGAACATATTTCCTTTTCATTTGTTCCAAGATTCTGATTCTTCATTCTTTCCTAATCATCCTCAGTCACATGATTTTGATTTTTAAATTTTGTCTTCTCTCCTCCTCCACAATGAGCTTCATCTTCTTCTCCATCTAATTTTCCACAAAATCTGGTTTATTTGTCGCCTCCAAAGTTTGGTTTCTTCTTCTCCATCTCATACTTAAATATTTTCTTCATATTCGATCTCAACAGGAACTTTTCGTCTGTTGGATGTGTCATCTCTACCTGTTAGGAAATCTAAAAGAGTGACTAAGCCTCCAAATTGGTTAAAAGACTTTGTTTCCACTTGCCAATCCTCTGTCCTTACAGGTCAATATCCAATTCTCAACCTATTTCGTACTCTCATTTGCCTTCTCACACTCAAAGCTTTTTGTCTTCTACTTCTATTCTCATTGAACCCAAGACTTATGTTGAAGTCATAAAAAATCCTTTATTGATTCAAGCAATGAAAGAGGAAATTCATGCCTTGGAAGTCAATAATACATGATTTTAACGTCTTTGTCATCTAATAAAACTGACTGGTTTTAAATGGTTTTATATGATTTAGTATAATACATCGGGTGAAGTAGAGAGATACAAGGCTGGTTTGGTAGCTGAAGGTTATAACCAGTTGGAAGGTGTTGACTATTTCGAATTTTTTTCCCATGCTGCCAAATTGGTTATTATCCAAACTCTACTTGCTCTTGCTGCTACGTCTAGTTGGTCTTTATATAAAATGGATGTATATAATGCATTCCTCCAAGGTAATTTGAATGAGGAGGTGTATATGCAATTGCCTCAAGGATTTTGTAATCAGGTGGAGCAACAAGTTTGTCGTATGCAAAAGTTTATATATGGCCTGAAGCAAGTTTTAAAACAGTGGAACGTGAAGCTCAGTGATGCTCTTCTTGTAGAAGGTTATCATCATAGTAAGTTTGATCACTTAATGTTTACAAAGAGGAAAGATGATAGACTGATTGTATTATTGGTGTATACGGATGATTTTCTTATCACTGGAAATGATAGTGATTTATTTCTTGAATTTAAAGCTATTCTGAATCAAAATTTCATAATGAAGGGATTTGAGAGAATTGAAATATTCCTTAGTTTTGAGGTTTTAAAATCTAAGGAATGTATCATATCAAATCAAAGGAAGTATGCCATGGAGCTTGTTGAAGACACATGTTTAGGGGGAGCTAGGCCTGCTCAAATACCCTTAAAGTAGAATGAGAATAGTTTACTTCTGTTGACTTTGATAACAACTTATCAAATTCTGATGATGTCTTGCTAGATGATAGATCTATATATCATAGGTTGATAGGGAGATTGTTATATTTAACCCATACAAAACCTGAAATCACTTATGTTATTCAACATCTAAATTAATTTATGTAGCAACCAAAGAGATCCCATTTAAAAACAGTCTTGAGAATAATCAAATATATTAAAAAGGATCTAAGTTGGGGACTTTTGATGAAGAGTGTCACTACTTGTAAACTAACAACATATTGTGACTAATTGAGCTGCATGTCCTATGTCCAGAAGATAAATAACATGTTTCTGTATAAAACTGAGAGAATCTTTGATATCTTAGAAGTCAGAAAAGCAAAGCACAATTGCTAGATCATCCACAAAAAACATAATACAAAAGCATGGATATGGTTACTATTGAGATAATTTGGTTCACAGGTTTATTATCTCAACTCGGCTTGGGAAATTTAGCACCAGTTAATCTCTTCAGTGACAACAAAACTACTTTACAAATTGCTGTTAATCTTGTATTTCATGAAAGAACAAAGCATACTAAGATTGATTGCCACTTTATTCGAGAAAAAATTCAAAAAAAGGCTTATACATGCAAAATACATATCCTCTACTGAGCAACTTGCTGATATTTTTATCAAGGTGTTGGGGGTTTCACAACATAGTTATTTAGTAAAGAAGTTGAGTGTTAAAAATGTTTTTGAACCACCAACTTCAGGGGGACTGTTAAGAACTGTTATAGAATTTGTTGCCAATTAATTACATCAGTTAATAATTAGTTAGATGATTAATTAGATGTTGATTATATGTTATGTAAGTCTTATTTCTTGTACTTTTGAAAGAATGTTCAAGTGAATGAAATACAAGTTTTTACAAAGGGTAAACTACACGGGAAACCATCAAACTATGGTCAATAATCAATTTGACCACCGAACTATTTTTTGTCTCAATTCGACCACCAAACTTTTTAATTGATTCAAGCAGACCACTCTCTGTTAAAAAAATAATGGAGAGTCTGACGTGTCCGTTAATAAATTGCATAATTATATATTTGGTCCTTAATATTAGCATAATTATACATTTAGTCCTTAATATTTACATATTTTATCAATCCAGTCATTATTTTAATTCAATTAAATAAATTTAACTATCAAATTAAAACGTGACACGTGTTAATATATGATTGGAAGATTTTGAATGTGAAAATTAAAGAGACCAACTTGTGCCCAAGGTGATGCGAACCAGGGTCTTGGAGATAAATCTTCTAGGAGACAAACCATTGGGCCAAAAGGCCCCTAATAGTTTAAAGTTACAATAAGTTTTATTTGACTTGTAAAAGTTTGTTAAGGATAAAACCTTAAACAAATTATTTATTTAAACAAATTATTATTTATATTAATTGTAAATTTGAATTAAAAATATTCAATTTTTATATAAATTAGAAAATATTAAAAAAATTGTTAATTCAAAAATTGACCGAATTAAATGAAATTTGTTCGGTTCAGTTAATAATTTTCAAATAAATTTCGGTTAGATTCATGGTTAAAGAAAAAAAACCGGTTAATTCGGTTCGGTTAATAATTTTCAAATTAATTTGGTTCGGTTAATAATTTTCAAATAAATTTTTGTTCGATTAACTTTACCCAATTAATTGAATTTTTGCTTCGATTAATAATTAAAAAATTCGGTTAATTCGGTTCGGTTAATAATTTTCAAATTAATTTGATTCGGTTAATAATTTTCAGATAAATTTTGGTTCGATTAACCGAGCCAAATTAACCAAATTTTTGCTTCGATTAATAATTAAAAAATCGGTTAATTCGGTTCGGTTAATAATTTTCAAATTAATTCAGTTCGGTTAATAATTTTCAGATAAATTTTTGTTCAATTAACCAAACCGAATTAACCGAATTGTTTTCTCTAACCGTTAATCGAACCAAAATTTATTTGAAAATTATTAGTCGTGAATAATTTATTTAATTAAATAATTTGTTTAAACAAATAATTTGTTTAAGGTTTTATCCTTAACAAACTTTTACAAGTCAAGTAAAACTTGTTGTAACTTTAAATCATTGGGGACCTTTGGCCCAATGGTTTATCGCCTGGAAGCTTTATCCTTAATACCTTGGTTCGATTCACCTTGGGCACAAGTTGGTCTCTTTAATTTTCACATCCATTGGGTGGTGACACGTGTCACCGCCTGATTGGATAGAAAATTTATTTAATTAAATAATTTAAAATTCATAATTAAAATCTTCCAATCATATATTGACACGTGTCACGTTTTAATTGGATAGTTAAATTTATTTAATTGAATTAAAATAGTGACTAAATTGATAGAATATGTAAATATTATGGACCAAATATATAATTATGCCAATATTAAGGACCAAATATATAATTATGCCAATTTATTAATCGACACGTCGGACTTTCCATTATTTTTTAACGGAGAGTGGTCTAATTGAATCACTTAAAAAGTTTGATGGTTGAATTGAGATAAAAAATAGTTCGGTGATCAGATTGATTATTGACCATAGTTTGGTGGTCTCCCGTATAGTTTATCCTTTTACAAATACTCTCTCAACATCAGTAATTGCAAATTTCTTTTTGGGTAAACTATACTATGACCACTTAATTATGTGTAGATTTTAATTTGATCATTAATTTTTTAATTTTATCAATCATAACACTTAATTATTTAAATGATATCAATTAATCCACCAACCATTAACATTTAACAAACAAAATTGATATAATTATATATTTGATCCTTAATACTTACACATTCTATCAATTTAATCTTAATTTTAATTTAATTTAATAAATCTAATCTTTTAATAAGGTGGTGATACGTATCAATAACTTAGATAGCTGTAATGGGAAACAATGTCTACATTGGATGAAAGAAAGCTGTAATTTTTTTTGGGGACAAATTATATATCTAATCCTAATCTTACTTAGAGGGGAGGGGTAAGGGGACTCTAAGGGAAAGAAGGGGAGTGCTCTTAATGAATCAAGAACTTATGACCTAAGGGAATATAAGGAAACAAAAATAAACTGCTTGACTAACCGATCAAATATACTTACTTGAAATAAAGTTGTAAATAATCTTTCTCTTTGTTCTTTAAGGTCCAATGGGATGAGAGCCTGTCTTGTTTCTTTCTATGTGTCATCATCATCAATTGCCGGTCTAAACTTGTTTGCTTGTTTATATATTTTTTTTCATTTAGCTTTTTGAAATTCCAAATTCTAAATTGCCACGAGTATGTGAACTGATTTTCACGTTGCCATCACTTTTCTCAACTTTAAATTCTAATTTTTTTTTTCATACGCCGGCTTATAGGACAGGGTCAAGAAGATATAGGACTTAAGGGTATTTAATTTTTTTTTTATAATTTTAAATATCAAATCTATTTATTGACTAATCCAAATTGAGAATTATAGAGGCGATGACGGTCCTCCAACCCAATTTAGCGGTCTATATTTAAAACTTTTCAACTTAGTTTTTCATTTTATAGGACTTCAGACAAACTTGTCGCTTAGATCAATCAAATCTTGACCAGAACCTTCACACAATCTGGCTCCTTCAACAGCTCAAATGCTTTGTTTATATCTTCTAGCTCAACTTCATGTGTCAAGAGTTCATCAAGATGGATTTCCTGTGGGAGATAAAAAGAAAAACTACACTAATACAAAAAAGTCTTTTCATATATGATACTATGTTATTCGGAGTCGAGTAAATATATATCTTATTATACTTAAACAAAAGGGTAAAGTACATAAATAGTCCCCCAACTATAGGATATTATTTTATTGAGTCCCTCGATTATTAAAAGTTATAAAATGATCCTCTGACTATAAGGAATTTTTTGTTGGATCCCTCAATTATTAAAAGCTACAAAATGGTTACCCGACTATTCATTATATTCTAAACTCGGCCTTTTTCGTTAAAAAAAAGTCATTTAAGCTGAACTTTAACATGTTAACTAAGATATGATAATCGTTTGAGATTATGAGATCATTTTTTATCACATCTAAGCCAGCATATTAACGTCCAGCTCAGACTATCGTTAATTTTTTTAACGAAACATGACGAGTTTGGAACATAATGAATAGTTAGGTGACAATTTTATAACTTTTAATAGTCGAGAGACTCAACAAAACAACTCCCTATAGTCGAAGAATCAACAAAATAGTATCATATAGTCAGGGGACTATTTGTGTGCTTTACCCAAAAAAATTGAAAAGATTTCCTTTCATGGATGTTAAAAGATCTGGATCCTGTAACCAGGAGAAAAATTAGGAGATGAGAAAGATACCTTATTTCTGCATTTTTCAAATAGGATTGGAAGGTCAGATGTGGTTTTTATTCCTCCAAAAATACTTCCCTTTAGTGTTCTTCCGCAAATCATTGGCAAGAAATTTATCTGAAGCCTAAAATCATCTCCTGTCCCCATCAATATGGTGGTTCCCTTTCCCTGTCCACCGATGAAACCAGATGATACCATCAAATCATTTGAAAAACATCCCTCCATTAGCCCATTAGCATACATTTAATACCTATTTACTCACCAGTTTTGTGGATTCAATGGCTTCATTGAGCAAGGGTCCAACCCCGGTGCATTCGAAGCTATAATCCACACCCGTTCCATCGGTTAGTTCTCGAATTGATTCGCTGATGGACTTATCGGAATCACAAGGGTTTATAAAATCGGTCATTCCGAAAACCAGTCCCTTTTCTTTTTTCCTTGGGTTCTTGTCTATGCCGATTATTTTACTTGCACCTTGAATTCTAGCTCCCTCAACTACCTGTTAATTTTACACATTTCCCATTGTTTAATGTTCTGAAATGTAGTATTTTAGTTAACAATAACGATGAGAGATCATACCCCTAGTCCGACAGTTCCGAGGCCGAAAACTGCTACGGATGAGTGCTCCTTAACCTTAGCCTCTTTCCAAGCAGCCCCAAATCCAGTTGAGTATCCACATGAAAGGAAACTTGCATGTGAAAGAGGCATGCATGGATTAACCTTGACGGCATAGTTGGCATTTATAACAGTATATTCAGACCAAGTAGGAGAGCCAAATGCGTGGTACAAGCTTTGGCCTTTGATGGACATTCTTGAAGTGCCATCCAACTGTTGGCTGTCCAAAAGCAATGGGTATTTTAAGCATAAGTTAGTCTGCCCGGATGTACAATTCTCACACGTTTGACACTCCGCAACATAAGTTGGAATCACAGTATCTCCTAGTTTTAGCCCATTGACTTCCTCACCAATGCTCTCTACCACTCTGAAAATTGCAGACAAAAAGCTTATAGTTCCCAGTTTTTGCTTTTACATTTTAATTGTAAATGGAACTTACAACAGAGGGACAATTTACCCGACACCTTCGTGTCCCATGAGTCGAGGGAAAACCGGCTGAAAGAGGGCAAAGAAGAGTTCATCAGTAGATAGTGTCATCTAAGTGACTGATACATCAAGAACAATGATGAAGTAAATCATTGAGGAAAAAAATTTACTTACAGCTGGGAATCCGTTGGTGCACAATATGTCAGAGTGACAAACACTGGCACATAGCATTTTAACTCTAACTTCAGACGATTTTGGTGGTTCTACTTGTATCTCTTCAACCTTCATTGCCTCCCCTTTTCCCCAACATACTATCGCTGACATGTACACATCCATCAGAAGGAAAGAGGTAAGATGTTGTAACGATGTTCTTTTAACAGTATGAGGTGATTATAAAATAGTATCTGTTCACAATCTTTCTTAGCAATTGATAACATACACGTTCTACAGACGCAGATACTTGAATCTAACATTCTATTTTACCACTGATATCATTCAATGGATTCCAGATGTTGTAACAGTTAAATCTACATAACCGGAACTTTTAGACGTTTGAAGGCATCGAATTTTGTTTCCGGAACATGTTCCGATGTTCAAGTTCATCATTCAATATAACTAAAAGTTACCTTTGCATGTTATGACTTGTGAGCTGACCTTGGCCATTGTTAGGCGGCGGCTTTGCTTTGGTTGCTGAACAGAAACTTCACAAATATGAAGATCATTGCTGATTCTCTCTCCATCTGCAAACATAAATAAATTAGCAAAGCTGTTGGCACGGTATCAATAAAAAAATAGAAAGAGGCAACAACCCTGTCTTATTTGAAAAAATAAAACGTTAAATTATTTGATTTGGCCGGACTGTGGCCCCTGCTCGAGATCCTGGCCACGTTTAGCGATTTATAGCCTATGCTCATCGATTAAATCCATGCATTATTTTGTTACTAGCATAAGGTCAAAAGAAACAACAAAAATTATACACGAACCAAACGATTATTAAAATAAGGAAAGTGGTGGGACCACCTAAAATAAGAATTAAAATTATAATAATAATAATAATAATAAACGGGTGGGTTTAGTTCATATTTCCCACTATTGGCATAGAAAATAAAGGGATTATGATCAAATTTCAAATGGAAATATCTATAATAAAGGTGTATACTTTAAAAATAAAATGTTAAACGGAATTCATTGAATAATTTTAGTGGTTAAGATAATATTGTTTTCTCGTGAAATCTTGAGTTTAAGCAATTGTGTTTATAGAGTTGTACTTGTCAATAACTATTATGAACAAATATTATTTTGTAATTATTATAGATTATTAAAAAAATTATTAAGTGGGTCCATTTTATTATTCTTTAAATTCAATGAATAGTCTTTGCTCACTAATAGTCTTGTGTAAGGCTGTAAATGAGATGAGATAAATCATGATCTATTCGAGATGGAATCGGTTAAAGTTTGATAAATATTCGTCTCGAGTTTGAGCTCGACTTGAGTTCTTAACGAATCGAAACGAATTATTAGATACTAGACTCAAAAAGCTCGAGAGCAACACGAAAAAAATACTATATTATTTAAAAAAAATAAATTATTAACAATATTAACATATATATATACATATATATATATATATATATATATATTATAATATTTTCATGTACTTAAGGTTCAAGTTCAAGTTTGAGCTTCAACCGAGTTAAGTTTAAATTTTTTTTTATTTTAAACTTTTACGAGCTTAAATTCATGATTTCGAATTCGAATCGAACTTAAAAATTTTAAAACTCACGAGTTTTCAAATTAAATCGAATTTCATATTAAAATTTTTGAGACAAATTAAACTCAATAATACTCGACTGTCCAAATCTTATGGGTCAGTGTTTACATCACACACGCCATTAAAAGATCTAACATTTCATTGGAAACTGTTGTGGAAGGAAGCATGATTGATTGGGCTGTACTTTATAGATATGATAAGTCTATTATGAGCAACATTAATTTTGGGTCAACTTTCAAAATTCGAGTACATCGTTGGTAGAGCCTAAAATGATTGTGGGCCCCAAAACAGGTTCATATTTGACTTAGTTTTATGGCATCCGAATGAGGTTAACATGATGTGGTTTTGACGTTAACACATGATTCGATTTATGACAAAAACTCTAATTTTTTTTATTGAAAATGAATAATTGTTTCGTATCATTCATGTTATTCTATTTATTAAATTTGGTCTCTTATTTTACAATTAAATTGATAAATTGATATATCAACTTTCATTTTTATGATTAAGTTCATATTTAATTGATTAATGATATGTAAATTTAATTTGTGATTTTTGAGGGGTCGAATTGAGTGAAAAACTTGTAAAAAGGACTTGGAAGCTTATTTAGAAAATTCAAAGCTAGGATTTCGAGGTAATTAAGTTTGAAGCAATATGAGAGGAAATTGCATCACTAGGAGAATCATGATGACCTACTAGAATCCAAAAATTGTATTTAGAGTTTTGCATATCTATATTCTAGATCGATATTGCAATCTATTGAAAATAAAGAAATTGGAAGCCCCTCAGCAAGAAAGAGGACAGTAAGAAAGTCAAGACCAGACTTAGCCAGACCGATATGTCTTTGCCCAAGTGACTTCGTATCTCACCTGAGTTGGTCTCACATCCTTTAGTCGCTTAGAACACGAAGGATGGTCAAGCATGCTCTTGTGAAATCCCAACTTTCATACGAGACTTCAAGGATAGGAATAAAACAACTATCAAGATCAAAGCCTTTTTCGCACAAGAAGGAAGTACGACCAAAGCCTAGGGAAAGACTTAAGCCAAGACTGTTGTAATCCTCAGATTTTTAGTCAATGGGTATGATTTGACCCGAGGGGGTCTATGGATCGAGTTGTTGATGACAATTCAATGTTTGAGTCAAGTTTACGCTTAATTAGTAGAAAATTGAGCCTAAATAGCCATAAAAAGGGAATTTTTGAATTGGAAGCAAAGGAGGAAGGACCAATGTTATAATTATACCCTTAAGAGTTAAAAAGGTTAAATCCTATTAATTCTGCGTATGTCACACGTTAGGAAGTATGGGTGAGTAAATCTCGACTCGATTCGACTCGAAAAATCGATTTTTTTTTCAATTTTGAGTTATTGGAGACAAGTTATTCGAGTCAACTCAAATTATCAATTCAGTTTTCAAGTTTGAGTCGAGTTGAAAATTTAAAATTCCGAGTTACTCAAAAAATTGAAATTTTGAATAAGTTTTTTGGAAGATTTGCGATTTGGTCCCTGATTTCTTATTCCTCAATTCATCCTTCATTTTAGGTCAAATTTTTACCAAATTTGAACTACATACTTCTAAACCACCATATAATACATATGTACTTTCAATTCCACTTTGATAAACTTTAAAAGTTAATATGAGATAAAATATATAAAGTAATTTTAATTTATTAAAATTAAATCTAAATTGATATAATATATAAGTCAAACTAACCAAATGTGTGATTATATCAATTTTATTAAATTTTAAAAGTTAGCATGAGACGAAATATATATTTTTATATTAGATAAGAATAAAAAATATATATTTTTAATAAGAATGAATAAAATATATATTTTAATTTAATTTGATAATAAAATATATTTAATAAGTTAAGATAAAAATAAAATATATTTTTTAAAGTTAAAATAAATTAATTATTATAAAATCAAGTTCATTATTAATACAATAAGATATCAAACATATACATCATGGATTATCCTTATCAATTTTTAGCATCAACATATACAGTCAATTTTGAATGATATATGTTTTTCTCCTCATACTCTATTGTTGTAGATGTTCCACCGACTTTATTTCCACTTTCCAATAGTGCCATAAAATTGTTTTTCGATCTGTATGTCGGGTCCTCAAACTCCCTTCTGAAAGCCATTTGAGATGAATTTTCATCCACATTTCTTGATGACCCAAGAACATCAGATATCTTAGCACATCAACAGATAACTCAATAAGTGCAATATTTGTTTACTCATGCAATCCAATCATGGTTCCAATATCATCATCTTCTTCAACTGGTACTGCAACATATATAACTGGATTGAGACATACCATAATCTGTACTTCAAACCATCAAGTGTAGCTCAAATATTTCTTTCTATCCTCTGCTTAATTTCTACAAATGTGATGTCCCTTGTGAACATCATATTTATAGGTCTTTCAGACTGAAAAACAACTTCGACCTTATTTTCCATAATAAATCCATTATAATGGACAATCGTAAAGAAGTTGTTGCTAATATTCTCTACAAATTCAAAATTTGTATTTATAATAAAAAAAATAATGGTACACTATGATCATAAATCATAAAAATGATATTATACAATATAAAAACAATATTAACATAACAACAATAGTAAAATTAACAAATATTTTATAAAAATAATATTAACATACTAATCAATAGTAAAATACCTCAAATAAAATTTCTTCAAACTTAATTCATTGTTTTCTTTTTTGCAAAAAAATTAACAAACTATTGGACTAATTTGAGACAAAATAACACAAATTTAAACCAATTTACCATATAATACATACTCAAATTAGAATAATGAAAGAAAAAAACACACACCAAAATTTCTAAAATACTCCCTCTATTAACCTTGTAACATCCTCAATAGTGGGTTAGTGATTAAATGGTAAAATTTTAGAATTTGGGGATAAAAGTAGGATAGTTGAAAGTTCAATGATTTAGATATGAATAATTCCTTATTGGATTAGATGAAGGGTATAATAGTAATTTCATAAGAAAGATTTTTTCTTTCTCCTTTATATAGGATATAACACGAGGAAATGAAGAGAGCAAGGTTCCAGTTTCCAGAGTTCTCTTCTTCTCCTTTCTTCTTCACGTGTGGAAGCCAAGAGCAAAGGTTTCTTATTAGTTGGTTTTTAGTTGAATTAAGCTTGGGTTTTAATCATAAGATGATACTTAAGCTTAAGGAAAGCTTAAGTTATCTTAAAACTATAAGATGAAAAAGATAATATGGTTCAAAGATTGGAGTTTTTAAGTGAAATTTTGAATAAGAAGGTTTAAATGAATTTAGAGGATGAATTTGACTTGTCATCTAGGAGAATAAAAAGCTAGAAGTGTTAGAATTAAGTTTGAGTAACATGGAAAATTTGGTGTGATTATTGATTTCTATATGGAGAATAGAATTTTGAGGTTTAAGATGAAATAAATGGGTATAAATTAGTTTAAGTATGTATATATGAGTTTAAGAATATTAAAGGAAGTGAAATAGGAAATGTGGAGCTGAAAATGAAGTGATTTTCGAGCTCAAAACATGATTTTTGGGCTAGGGGAATCGATACCCATTCAATAGGAATCGATACCCCCTCAACGGAACCAGAAATTCCAGAATGTCATGGGGGAACCGATTCCCCCACAATAGGGAACCGATTCCCCCTAAAGGGAAAAAGTGATTATTGGTTTAATGAGTTCGGTTAAGTTGCTAGTATCCAATTACAAGGTGTAGGTATCTAATAATTGCCTTAAAATGTACATTTATGTAGATTCTAAGAGTAAAGCAATTCCGGAATATTTGGCAAGTAAGATCGATCAAGGGAAATATAAGAGATCGGTATTGACTAGTGATGCCAGGTGAGTGCATATTATTAGAATATATGTATTGTATATAGAAATTGGACTTGCGACAAGTCTGTTTCCTATATGATTGTATGAGTAGAAGTA